GTCGCGTGCGTGTGCGCGCGTGTGTGGAGAGGTCATCACGACCGCTAAGCTATGCAGTGCCGGATTATCCGAGTAGCAAAAGTAGCTACACGCACATGTAGTAGCTACACATGTAGTAGCTACTACATTCAGCTACACATGTAGTAGCTACTACATGCAGCAGCTACACGTGCAGCAGCTACTACATGCAGCAGCTACTACACGTGCAGCAGCTACTACACGTGCAGCAGCTACTACACGTGCAGCAGCTACTACACGTGCAGCAGCTACTACACGTGCAGCAGCTACTACACGTGCAGCAGCTACTACACATGTAACTACGGGCCTCGCACTTTCAAGGGCCCCGCGCTAAATGCTTTCAAGCTATCACTTCCGGTTCAGGGATTCTGCACTTGCTCTATTACTATAGAACTATACCGCCTTCGACTTTTATGAACGACTGGGTGTTTAAGGTTAACGATTTGTCGTATTCGCTAGCTGTATAGCAAATGAAAAATACAATTACTTTGTTATGCAAGTAAAATAATTGTGTTTTAATATTCGTATTTTTTAATGTAGGGCCCCTTTATAACATATGCTAGAGCCCATGCACCAGCTTAATCCGGCACTAAAGCTACGTTAATAAGTTCAATGCCTGATCACGCACGTCAATCACGTGACTGCTGGCACAGGAACCCGGCACGCGGAGTATTTGTTTCACAAGCCTGGCCCTGCTGATGAGTCCAGAAGGTCGAAACGGGTCCAGGGTTCGCTTGCTCACCCAGACGACGCGGGTCAATGTCAGTCCCTTTAAATTCTCGCGCGCTACACAGAGACAAAGATCCCCCGTATAGCTCGAACAGACCGTTGGGGCAAGTGCTGTTAGGGAGTAGCACCTGTGAAGTCCGGAACGGCACACGGGGGGCGGTGACCAGTGGCTAGCACCACGCTCGGTCGCCTTTGTCTCCCTCGTGGCGATGTTTTTTTTTTATTATACATCGTACCAGGTACTCGTTTGAGTCGACCCGCGGGGTGTGACGGACACTAAAGCCGGTAGAAAGCGGATATTTGACGGGCTTAGAGGTGTTACTGGCGTCCTAAATAATGATAACAACAACATTATTATTACTTAGAAACGTGAACATGTTGACGGCCCTTGTGGTGCACGGATGAGCCGTATCATTACGGCGTCACGAGGGTTGCTTGCGCGTGCATCCTTCCCCACGCTGGTCGTCAGTGCGGGCTGCTGAAGAGGAGGAAGGAGGAGTTGTTTGGCTCTGTAGGGGCCATAGGCCCGGTTCAAAAATACAGTACAACTCACTCGTCACGAAGTCACTGTTGATGTTAGCGCGGTATAACGTGTACACAACCCAGTGTGGTGTACACAACGCTCTGCAGTCTACAGGCATACTGTTTATGTAGCTTTTGTGTTACCCTGTGTACCACGTGTGTACACACAACCGTTCAGTGAGTACTATGCGTGCACTCGCTGTGTCCCCCGTGTGTGTAAACACACGCACACAAATAGTGTACACACAGCCATGCGTACACTGTGTGTGTGCGCACGTGTGTGTATGTGTGTGGGGAGCGATAGTGTAGCGGTTAGCGCGCTGCGCTATGAACCTGGCGACCCGGGTCCGATTCCCGCTCACGGCCAACACCAGTGACGATTATCTGAACCGGTCCCGGGCCTCCCCTAGGTCGACTCAGCCTCAAATGAGTACCTGGTGCGGTGTGTAAACATTGCCACTAGGGAGACAAAGGCGGTCGGGCGTGGTGCTGGCCACCCACCCCCTCGTGTACCGTTCCGGCCTTCATAGGTGCTCGCTAACAGCACTTGCCCCTACAGTCTGGTAAGGCTATATGGGGGATCTTTGTATGTGTGTGTACCCGGCGGCCGTCTGTTCGCGCCGTGCGTCGCGAACATACAGCGCGAACCCCGGAACCTGAGAATCGGAGCCTTGACTCGGGTCAGGGGTTAATTGGGGCTTAATGTCTCAATCGGCTTAACTGGGATTGGAGTGTTTCTCGCGGTGTCCCGCGTCCCTTAAATTGGTGTTAGTGCCCTACTTGCGTGTCTGATTGAATTTGGGGGTGTGATGGGGGGTCACGGCTTAATGTGTTTGCGTACGATTTTAGTGACACCCGTTTAATTGGAATCGCAGGCTTTTTGTTGCATGTGGCGTTTGTGCCTTAATTGAGTCTCAATTCCGGTGACGAATGATGTTTGAGTGAGCTTTGGCGTTTGATATGTATTTGTTCTCTAATATGGGCTTAATTACTTAAGCTAAGTGATAAGACAGCACTTTTGTCACACTCCACTGCTGGATGAATATGCCTTCTGGTGCCGGATCGCCCGTGTGGGCTGTTTGACCATACTTCACCCCGCTCGTCAGTACGGGTTGGTGGTGGGAGGGGTAGGGACACGGAACCGGTTTAGACGAATCGCTCGTCACTGATGTTAGCCGTGGCCAGGAGTCAAGCTCGGTTTGACTGGTTCACAGCGTAGTGCGCTAACCACTGTGCCACCGCTCCATCCTTCGACTGGGTTAGGCGACTTTTACGAAGGTTGAGGTGTTGGCGGTCGTGCTGTTCATCTGAAGGTTTTCGGGTTGTATCGCGTGTTGTTCGGTATGATGCCCGACGTTTCGCGCCGCGTGCCGCGGAACGAATGGCTCGGGTTCATGGTTCAACGGGGCTGTAATGTCCACGTGCATTCATGTCAAGGGGTGACATCTCGCCTTGAACTCTCGTTAAGATTGCCATCGTCAAATAGCGTGATTCGACAGCTTCAATAGATTAATATCATCAACAGAAGTCAGCGGGCAGGGTCAATCCACTGCTGGATGAAGGCCTCCCCAAGCCGTCGCCATCTCTTCACGGTCTCGCGGATGCAAGGGCCCCACATCGCTGATGCGGCACGGGGATGAACCCCTCGCTCCGTCTCCCCTGGGCCCGTGAGCGTTCGCGCGCCCCCCTGGCCGACGCTCCGTCGACACGGGCACTGGCCACTACCACTGCTCGACCCTCAAGGTGATGTCTAACAACTCGGGGTGGGGGTGGGGGGAGACGAAGGCGGCCGGGCGTGGCGCTGGCCACCCAACCCCCCCCCCCCTCGTGTGCTGTTCCGGCTGCTACTCGCTAACAGCACTTGCTCCAAAAGTATGTTGAGACTATACACGGGGGATCTCTGTCTTTATCTTTGTGTGTGTGTGTGTGCTACGAACCCGACGACCCGAGTTCGATTCCTGCTCACGGCCAACACCATTGAAGATTATCTGAACAGGTCCTGGGCCTCCCCTAGATCGACTCAGCCTCAAATGCGCACCTGGTGCGGTGTGTAAATATCGCCACTAGGGAGACAAAGGCGGCCGGGCGTGGTGCTGGCCACCCCACCCCCTCGTGTGCCGTGCCGGCCTTCATAGGTGCTCGCTAACAGCACTTGCCCCAACAGTCTGTTAAGCCTATCCGGGGGATCTTTGTCTTCGTGTGTGCGCGCCGTGGAGAAGCGGTGGAGCAGTTTGTCGGCATAGTGCGGCGTGAACCCGGACCACACGAGTTCGATTCCCAGCCACGGTCAACGTGAGTGGAGAGTGCTAATCAGTGCGGTGTGTTAGCACTCCCCACTCACGGTTAACGTGAGTTGCGAGTTCTAATCAGTGCGGTGTGTTAGCACCACCACTGAACACAGCATCATACACACACACAACCCGAGACAGACGGTACAAACGGGGCAAACACGACTTTATTTCGAATAAAAATCATGATCTTGAATCGTAAACATACATCCAAATCGCCGGTACGTGAAATGTTGAAGTTTTCGTGACTGCAGGGATCCATACTCTTTGGTTCTTTCGGTGAAATCACGTAGGTAGAAAATAAAATGAATTAAATCACGACGTTTCGATTGCAATGCAAGCAATCATCATCAGGTGGGAAAACCACAGCAATATTTTTTCTTGTTGTGGTTTTGTTTCCATTATCAGTGCACTTGTGTTGTACACAGGTGTGTTGAACTTCTTTCTCACCGTACGTAGCCAACCGTGCTAATCCGAGGTGCGTGTGGACAAGGTGAGGGCTAGGACCGAGGTTCGGGTGAGGGTTTCGTGGGATAAGGGGATGGAGTTCGGGAAAGGGGTTTGGGATATGCTTGGGGTTAGCTTTATTGACAGTATTGAGGTCAAACGTAGGGGTAGATATGAGGTTAGAGTTAGCGATAGGTTGTTAAGGAGACGGTCCAACGCAATGTTTATTTGCTACACGGAAAATCCCGTTTCGCCAGTTACCCAGCTGGTTTAGCCAGTTGCTGGTTCGGGGACACGGTTTGGGAAAAGGGTTTCGGGGGTTCGAGATAAGGGTTATGGGGGAGTGCTGCTGCTGCATCATCATCGTCGTCGTTCTTCGGTATGTCTCGAGTTCTCACGCCGCTCTCACCTCGCTCCTGGGGACTCAACCACAAACCCCAGCGGAGGGTGCGCGTCCAGTCACCACAGCCGCCGCCGCCGTAACGAATCGACGGCGCGTGGCCATCATTGGTGGGGTTTTGTTTGTTTATCCGGAGAAGCCTCGCCGAGTTTCGAGTTTTGCGCGAGGAGCCCGCTGCTCCTTACCCCCGCACCTCCGATTCGCAGGGTTGGCTGCGTACGGCGCGAAAGAAGTCCAGCGTACACACCACGTACCACGCGTACCGTAACATACCGTAGCGGTGGCTCCCTTTGCCCTGTCTGGCTCCTTGCTGCCCCGGTAGGGGCCGCTACGCGCTCGGCGTTGAGGCTGCCCGGGGGCTGAGCGGGGCAGAGGGGTGCCCCCACCCCATCCTCCTCCACCTCGTCTCCCCGCCCCGCCCCTCCAATTCCCCCCCCCCCATACCCCTCCCCTCCCCCCATACCCCTCCCCTCCCCTCCCCCGCTGGGGGCGAGGGGGAGGGGGCACGGCCTCGCAAACGCCACGCATCTCGAGCGCCCGGGCAGAGCGCTAGTGGCCAGAGTGGCGCACGTGATAGGGAAGATTCACCCCCCCCCCACCGCCCACCACCCCCCCACCTCCACCCTTGCGCCTGCCGTCAAAACTAAAAAGCGACTCGCATGGGTGCAGCGTTCACAGCCATAATTCATAGCCCGCGCCGAGCACAGCGCGGCGGTTTTTGCACAGCGCGGCTGCTGCTGCTGCTGCGGCGGCGGCGGTGAGAGCGCGAGTCGACGAGCGAGTGAGTTAGTACCCGAGGTAGTAGCCGAGGGTCGGTACCGGTGGAGTGAGTGGGTGGGTGGGTGGGGGGACACGCGAGCCAGACCTGCTGGGGGAACTCCGCCAGCTCGCGTCGTGGTCGTGGCGCGACCACAAATCACGGCTGTGCGGGGGAGCGGAGGTGGTCAATTAACGAGCGGAGTAGCGGGGGTCGCGCTGAGGACGATTTACACACTCCCCCCCCTCCCCCTCGCTCGCTCCACGCGCACTTCGATTTACACACTCGGGCCGTTTTTACGCACTCGCCAGATTTACGAGACGCGCGCGCACACTCACGCTCCCCGAGCGCGCACGCACGGGCACGCGCACGCGCGCACTTACGCACACGCAACTTACGCACGCAACTTACGCACGCAACTTACGCACGCAACTTACGCTCGCGCGATGAGTTCGTATTTCGTGAACTCGTTCGCTTCTGCGCGGTACCCGAGCGGGGGTCCTGACTACCCCCTAATTCCGGGGTACGGGGACCCCGGTGACCCGGGTGACGCGGGACCCGCGGGACCCGCGGGAGAGGGGTCCTACGGAGATGCGAGGTGCGGGTTCGACTACAGTGGCATCGACCTGAGCTTGCGGCGACCGCACGGAACTCCGCTGTGCGGCGCGGGACTCGCCAACGGTGTTGGTGGCGGTGGTGGTGGTGGTGGAGGGGACTACCACAGCCAATCCGGGCGACACAGGGACCGACTGGCTTGCGGTGGCATCGGCATCAACAACAACAACAGCAGCAGCAGCAGCGGCGTCAGCTGTACGGACATCAGCAGCATCAACAACAGCAGTAGCAGCAGAAGCAGCAGCAACAGCAGCTACATCAGCAAGGCGGAGAGCTATTCGCGGAGTCCGGTGAGCGGTGGTGGTGGCGGCGGTGGTGGTGGTGGTGGAGTTGTGGAGACTCTGCGAGATTCTGCCCTCCCGGCAAACGGCGGCCCCGTGGTGCCTGCGGCGAGGCAGCAGCAGCTGCAGCTGGCGGGGGAGAAGCCTCCTCGTGACGGCGAGGAGGCGCCGCAGATTTACCCGTGGATGAAAAAGTTGCACCTCAACCACGGTGAGGGCGCGTGGAAGACGGTGGCTGCCGCTGCTGTTGTTGTTGTGGAGGCTGTTGGTTATTGGCGTTGCTGTTTTATTGGTAGTGTTGTTGGTGGTGGAGTTGTGGGGAGCGGTGGTGTAGCGGTTAGCGCTACGCTGCGCTACGAACCTGGCGACCCGGGTTCGGTTGCCGCTAACGGTCAACACCGGTGACGATTATCTGAACCGGTACTGGGCCTCCCCTAGGTCGACTCGGCCTCAAATGAGTACCTGATGCGGTGTGTAAACATCCCCACTGGGGGAGACAAAGGCGGCCGGGCGTGGTGTTGACCACCCACCTCCTCGTGTGCCGTGCCGGCCTTCGTAGGTGCTCACTAACAGCACTTGCCCCAACAGTCTGTTACAGGCTACACGGGGGACCTTTGTGCTTGTTGTGGCTGGAGGGTGTTTGTGTCTGTGTCGATATTGTCGCAGTGTTGTGGGCAGTGTTTATAAATGTTGACGATGTTGATTGGTGGTGGTGGCGATGATGTTGTAGGTGTTGTTAATGTCGTGTTTTGTATTGGTGTCGGTTGTTGTTGTTGTTCGTGATGTCGTTTTCGTTGTTGTCGATGTTGCTGTCAGAGTTGTTGTCGATGTTGCTGTTTGCTGGGGTTGTCGATGTTGGTGGTGTTGTTGTTGGTGGTGTTGTCGATGTTGGTGGTGTTGTTGTTGGTGGTGTTGTTGTTGGTGGTGTTGTTGTTGGTGGTGTTGTCGATGTTGGTGGTGTTGTTGTTGGTGGTGTTGTCGATGTTGGTGGTGTTGTTGTTGGTGGTGTTGTTGTTGGTGGTGTTGTCGATGTTGGTGGTGGTGTTGATGTTGGTGGTGGTGTTGATGTTGGTGGTGTTGTCGATGTTGGTGGTGGTGTTGATGTTGGTGGTGTTGTCGATGTTGGTGGTGGTGTTGATGTTGGTGGTGTTGTCGATGTTGGTGGTGGTGTTGATTTTGGTGGTGTTGTTGTTGGTGGTGTTGTCGATGTTGGTGGTGGTGTCGATGTTGGTGGTGGTGTTGATGTTGGTGGTGTTGTCGATGTTGGTGGTGGTGGTGTCGATGTTGGTGGTGTTGTCCATGTTGGTGTTGTCCATGTTGGTGGTGGTGGTGTCGATGTTGGTGGTGTTGTCCATGTTGGTGGTGTTATCCATGTTGGTGGTGTTGTCCATGTTGGTGGTGTTGCCCATGTTGGTGGTGTTGTCCATGTTGGTGGTGTTGTCGATGTTGGTGGTGTTGTCGATGTTGGTGGTGTTGTCCGTGTTGGTGGTGTTGTCCGTGTTGGTGGTGTTGTCCATGTTGGTGGTGTTGTCCATGTTGGTGGTGTTGTCGATGTTGGTGGTGTTGTCCGTGTTGGTGGTGTTGTCCATGTTGGTGGTGTTGTCGATGTTGGTGGTGTTGTCGATGTTGGTGGTGTTGTCGATGTTGGTGGTGTTGTCGATGTTGGTGGTGTTGTCGATGTTGGTGGTGTTGTCGATGTTGGTGGTGTTGTCGATGTTGGTGGTGTTGTCGATGTTGGTGGTGTTGTCGATGTTGGTGGTGTTGTTGTTGGTGGTGGTGTTGTCGATGTTGTTGTTGATGAGAGGCAAGGCGGGCATGACACGTAAGCAATGGTGTCCTAGGAGGCTCGAGGGGTATATCGGCTCATCCTCTACAGCCCCACTCTCTCCTCTCTCCAGAACTCCGTGACTCTCGACAACTCTCGACAACTCTCCAACCCTCTCCAACCCTCTCTATCCACCTCGACTCTCTAAACGTCCGTGCCTCGTCGCGGACTGACTAAGCTATCTCTCTTGGACTCGTCTCTCGCGGAGATACTCAGCCTCCACTCTCTCGACGTCTCTCTCCCGGGGGGCTCTGAGCTCGAGATACTGCCCCCCCCCCCCCCTCTGTATCCCACTCGAGGTGGCTGCGTCCACAACCTCATCGATTCCCAACTTTCTAGTTTGCTGTGGCCTAGAGACCCCGGGGTAGGCAACACGCGGCTCTTTTAAGGGCTGCTTCCTGACGCTATTCGTGAAGGGTCACCGTCTCGTGATTCACCCCGCAGTGCAATGCGGCTCTTGAACCACTGAGTTGGGTTTTTGTGTTTTAACGAATTCGCAACAAAAAATGTCACGTCTTGTTATTTTGGTTGCCTCTGACCCCTGGGGGTTATACGCTGCTCCTCTCGATCGCACTCTTTTTTAAATCTCTCTCTAGCTCAGAACTTTATCTCTCGAGCACAAAATGCCCGATAACATCCGTTAAAATCGCCGTGGCCTTTAAAAACAAAAAAACACATTTTTACTAGGCAACGTTTCGGGCAATGGCCCTTCGTCACAACCTATAGAGAGGCACTCTCGACTCCACCCCACCCACGCTGTGTCCCACTCTCTCTTATCAACCTCTCAGGAGTCCACCCTGCTCTAGACCTACCTCTAACCATCAAACACAGACGACGGTGGTCACCGCATCGCGCGGCGCTTTCAGATGCGCTTCTGCGGCCGTCTGGAACGCTCTTCCTTCCGATGTTAGGACGCCACTGGCGCTGTGCACTTGTAAATCAGCCAGATTGACGAACTCCTTCCTTTAGAGCCGCTTTTTTTTGTCCTTCCCCCGCACCTCCGATTAGCTCGGCTGGCTACGTACGGTGCCGAAGAAGTTCAACATAGCCCACTGTGTGTCTCTCACTCGTACCCACCTTCTCTGAACTCCTCTCAGTGACCACCGCGCTCTGTGCACCAGCCTCGGTCATCACCGCCCAACACTGCCCCGAACGCCGCTCACCGCCTTCAACGTCGTTGTCACCTCGCCTGGCCGTGCCGGAACTGCGCGCTCCATCTCTCACCACCGGACCGCCTCACCTCATCCCCCGCCTCATCCCCTCATCTCATCCCCTCACCTCATTCCCCATCTACCCCAGCTCCACCACAGTGGGCCAGCGGCGGGGCAAAGTGTGGGTATCACCATTTAGATGGACGCCACGGTGGCGAGGAGATGTTAACTACCTCGATCCAGACCCTGACGCCTGCTGCGGTATGCTTGGAGTTTGCGTGTCTCTCTCCCCCCGTGGTCGCGCGGATTTTCTCCGTGTCCTCTGGTTGGCCCGATGGTGTCAACGAGTCTACAACGTTTGTTATCCACTGTCTCTGAGGTCTGTCTGCGTGCGAAGAAAAAAAACGGCCATTCCCCGAAACGTCGGCAGTTATATATTTATTGAAATTTCGAAAATATACAGGGCGCTTCAAAAAAATGTTGACACTTAAGCGGGACTCGTTTTGTAATGGAAACAAGAAGGGATGATACTACCACTGTAACGTGATAGCAAATGTAATGTTAATAGCTTTTCAAAAAAGTCAAGGAGTCTCCACTTGTTCGCCATCGTTGCCAACGCGTGCCCTGGAATCTTCTCCAGGTGATCTCCAGAGCCCGGTGGCACATTTCTTGTGGCGTTGTTACAAATCCTCCGGAGTGTTCACATTTTTTTGAAGCGCCCTGCATCGTGTCAGAGGGCAGCGTAATGAGGAGCGGTGGCGAAGTGGTTAGCGCGCAGTGGCTGTTAGCGCACTGCGCTACACCAAAGTTCGATTCCCGGCCGCGGCCAACATTCTCATCAACCCGCACACTGACCAGACGGGGTGAAGTATAGTCAAACAACATCCACAATTGTGGGAAGGCCTTCATCCAGCGGTGGATCGGCAAGGCGATGTAAATCGTCACAACGATAGATGCCATGTGTGCTCTTGTTACGGGGGATTTGCTAGCTTAGTGCTATCGGGTGTCTAAGTTGGTACACCGCCGCTGACTACTTTGTTACGCAGCAGGTAGAACGCGAATTTAAAACACTCAGCACCACATTCGTCGTTAACACTGTAGCCTCACAACAGGACATTTAATAATTGGCCGACGTTTCGTGGAAAGTGCCTTCGTTCACGTGTACACGCACACGTCTACACACCGAGGTTTCCGAACCTCCAGTCCTTGCCACCACCACCACTCTGCTCCGCCTTTCCGCAGTTACAATCAATTACCCATTCGAATACGAATTAAGTCTCTTTTCACGCTGCACGCGCCCGATGATTGTTGTTAAAACACGTGCCACGTGACCCGCCGAGCAATTATCGCCGTGTGTGTGTGCGCGCACGCGCTCGCATCCACACGTGGATCACGTGGTATACGCACAGCCTGAGAGCTCAATCTTAATTTGGATCCTCTCTCTCTCTCTGTATTTCAATCGGATCTCTGCAGAGCAATAGAGCGGGAATCGAACTCTGGTCGCTGGATTCGGTAGCGAAGTGCGCCCACCACTTCGTCGCCGCTCTACATATTCGCACACGCGAAACACGATTATCTGAACCGATCCTGGGCCTCCCCAAGGTCGACTCGGCCTCGAATGAGTTTACCTGGTATGTTGTGTAAACATCCCCGCGTGGCGCTGACCACCCACCCCCGCGCGTGCCGTGCCGGCCTCAGTAGGTGCCGCTCACGGACGGCACCTGCACCCCAACGGTCTGTTGAAGGCTACACGGGGGACCTTTGTCTGTGTATACAAACTGCCTTTGTGACGTGTCCGCGCAGACGGGATATCCGGCTCGGAAGGGAAGCGCTCGCGCACCGCCTACACGCGCTACCAGACGCTCGAGCTGGAGAAGGAGTTCCACTTCAACCGCTACCTGACGAGGCGACGCCGCATCGAGGTGGCGAACGCGCTCTGCCTGAGCGAGCGGCAGATCAAGATCTGGTTCCAGAACCGGCGCATGAAGTGGAAGAAGGACAACAAACTGAAGAGCCTGAGCATGGCTGCCGGGCAGGGAGGCATGTACCAGGGTTGATGGGGAGGAGGAGGAGGAGCAGCAAGGGAGGAGGAGGAGAAGGAGGACCCGGACTAAGAACTTCGGTAGAACCCTCTGGTGTGCGCGCCGTCGACTCATTCGCACCTTCGTTCATTCGTTCATCCGTCCATTCATTCATCGATTAACTTTATTGAGAAGCAGGCGAGAGAGAGAGAGAGAGCGACTCATGACCCAGGGCTTTATTTTGCTCACTCGATTATTATTCTTTTTTTTTCCCGAAACGCTTCTTGCTTGGCTGGCTGGGTTCGAGTCGGGATTCTCGGTGTAAGGCACTACCACGAGAGTACAGGGTATGGCCGGTGGAATATATAATAATCATATTATTCTACCCTATAGTTTTTTTTTATAATACGATAAAAAACAGGTTCATCGAACTGTAGGGGGGGGTATGCAATGGGGGCAATGTCAGGCGCGGTGGATGTGGCGTGCCCAAGCCGAGCTCCTGGGACAGCATTGCGGGACTGTGCGAGCTGCAACGAAGCGCTGCTTTGTGACAGCGTTTCCCTGAGACACCCAGCTCCAGGTGTCATCTGGGATAACGCGATTTCCTGGTTTGTTGTCAACTGGAGTTTTTTTTGTTTTTTTTTGCTGGAGAGTGAATTCGATCCGAAGTCTGAATTCTCTTGGGCCCACAGGCTGAATAATTTATCTGGCCTGGTCTGCATGAATTATCTGAGCCAATCTCGTATCTCGGGTCCACAGGTTGAATTCATTATCTGGGCCAATCTCGTAGCTGGGGGGGGGGGGGGCAGGCTGAATGAATTATCTGGGACAATCTCGAATCTTGGGCCCCCAGGCTGAATTAATTACCTGGCCCGGTCTGAACGAATTATCTGGTTCAACCGGATATCTGGGAACCAATGGCTGAATTCGTCCTGGAATAATGGTAACTACTTTTATTTTCGGGCCACCCAGAGTCGCCTTCAGTCGCCTCGAGTTGGCTATCCCATGGGAACGCGGTGTTCGTTTATTTTGTAAGGTAGACCTGGGCTACAATGAAGATGTATTATGCATGTAAAAAAAGCGTCGCAAAAAGATTATAATATAAAACAATATATATGAACATGACACGAAGTGTAACAGTTTACACTTTAGCAATATACGACTTAGACATGTGGGTAAGATTTCAAGTTGCATTGTGGCAGTGAGGCGTGGGGCATGTGATAATAATACGCATCACTTTCACACTCTTCCAATAATGAGATAGACTCTCGGCTTTGAATCGTGAGACTTAGTGACTAATCTACTGAGTAGGTCACTTGAGGACCAACACACATATATATACCAACATAGGATACAAAGGATACCGAGACACACACAGACAACGCCTGAATAGACTGTTGGGGCAAGTGCTGTTAGCATGCACCTATGAAGGACCGCACGTGACGCAAAGGGGTGGGTTGCCAGCACCACACCCGGCCACCTTTATCTCCCGAGCGGCGATGTGTACTACACACCGCACCAGGTAGTCATTTTGGGCTGAGTCGACCTAGGGGAGGCCTAGAACCGGTTCACATAATCGTCACTGGTGTTGACCGTGAGCAGAAATAGAACCCCGGTCGCCAGGTTCGTAGCGCAGCACGCTAACGGCTACACTACCGCTCCTAGATAACAGCTACACTGTCGCTCCCCACAAGACATACAGATACCAGGACACGCACACAGATACCAAGACACTCAAGTGGCGGTGACGTCCCCACGACGCTTGTGCCAGGCTATGTGTACGTTGGATATATAGAACACACACACCCACACACAAACAACACGAATACTTACAGATATCAGCAGAGATAGCAAAGCAGTTAGCAATACACACGCAGATACCAACCCAAGATAAGATGCACAGATACCAACACGCACAGATAGAATACTCACACATGCAGAAACTACACGGATACCAACATAGAGATACCAGCAGATATAACAAAATAAATATATCAATTACACACACAGATACTAAGATATACAAACAGAGCTAACAACATAGACGAAGACCCCCTATATATCCTGTAACAGACTGTTGGAGCAAGTGATGTTGGCGAACACCTATGAAGGCCAGCACCACGCCCGGCCGCCTTTGTCTCCCCTAGTGGCGATGTTTACAAACCGCAGCAGGTACTCATTTGAGGCTGAGCTGACCTAGGGGAGACCCAGGAGCCGGGTCGGATAACTGTCACCGGTGTTGGCCGTGATCGGGAATCGAACTCGCCGGGTTCGTAGCGCAGTGCGCGAACCGCTGCATTACCGTGCGTGTGTCAACACAAGAGCCACACACACCGGCTCAGAGAGACACACACACACTGGCTCACAGAGAGACACACCGGCTCACAGAGACACACACACACCGGCTCACAGAGACACACACACAGGCTCACAGAGAGACACACCGGCTCACAGAGACACACACACCGGCTCACAGAGACACACACACCGGCTCACAGAGACACACACACCGGCTCACAGAGACACACACACACACAGGCTCACAGAGAGACACGCACACTGGTACACATATACACACACAGGCTCACAGAAAGACACACAGGCTCACAGAGAGACACACACTGGCTCACAGAGAGAGACACACACAGGCTCACAGAGAGACACACACACTGGCTCACAGACACACACAGGCTCACAGAGAGACACACACACACAGGCTCACAGAGAGACATACACACACGCTGGCTCACAGAGAGACACTGGATCACAGAGAGAGACACACACAGGCTAACAGAGAGACATACACACACTGGCTCACAGAGAGACATACACACTGGCTCACAGAGAGACATACACACACACAGGCTCACAGAGAGACACACACAGGCTCACAGAGACACACACAGGCTCACAGAGACACACACACAGGCTCACAGAGAGACACACACTGGCTCACAGAGACACACACACAGGCTCACAGAGACACACACACTGGCTCACAGAGACACACACACTGGCTCACAGAGAGACACACACACACAGGCTCATAGAGAGACACACACAGGCTCACAGAGAGACACACAGGCTCACAGAGACACACACACAGGCTCACAGAGAGACACACACTGGCTCACAGAGACACACACACAGGCTCACAGAGAGACACACACACTGGCTCACAAAGATAGACACACACAGGCTCACAGAGACACACACATGCTCACAGAGACACAAACTGGCTCACAGAGACACAGGCTCACAGACAGACACACACACACTGGCTCACAGAGAGACACACACTGGCTCACAGAGAGACACACACTGGCTCACAGAGAGACACACACACTGGCTCACAGAGAGACACACTGACTCATAGAGAGAGACACACACACAGGCTCACAGAGACACACACACCGGCTCACAGAGAGACACACACCGGCTCACAGAGAGACATACACACACTGGCTCACAGAGACACAAACTGGCTCAAAGAGAGACACACACACAGGCTCACAGAGACACACACACAGGCTCACAGAGACACACACACTGGCTCACAGAGAGACACACACACTGGCTCACAGAGAGACACACACACTGGCTCACAGAGAGACACACACACTGGCTCACAGAGAGACGCACACTGGCTCACAGAGATACACACACAGGCTCACAGAGACACACACACTGGCTCACAGAGAGACACACACACTGGCTCACAGAGATACACACAGGCTCACAGAGAGACACACATTGGCTCACAGAGAGACACACACACTGACTCACAGAGATACACACACAGGCTCACAGAGAGACACACAGACTGGCTCACAGAGAGACACACACACTGGTTCACAGAGAGAGACACACATCACATTACATAGTCTGTGTAGGCCGAGGTCACCCGAATTTATCTTCTGCTCTTCGATACGCGTGAGTGTATGTATGCGTGTACATTGAGCACGTGTATGTGTGTATGCTGTGAGTATACACTGCCCTGCAGTCTGGGCTTCATGTAGCCTGCGTAGAATACTTGTGTACAGAGGTGCACTATTTATGTATACCTAATACCTACTCACCTACTCACCTGCGCACCTCACCATCCACCTGTACCTACCCAGCTACCCACCCCTTGCTTACCTAACTACCTACCTGCATGCTCACCTACCAACCAATCCCCTACATATACAACTATCTATACACCTACCCACTCCCTAACTACATAAACACCTACCTACTCACCCATGCCCCTACCGAATTACCTAACTACCTACCAACTTTCACACCACGTATGATGTATACATATCGATCCACTCAGTTTCCCACCTGCCTCTTACCGATAAAAAATATCTACCTACCCCCCCCCCCACCTACCCACCTACCTACCCACCCACCTACCCACCTACCTACCTACCCACCTACTTACCCCACCCACCTACCCACCTACCCCCCCCTACCTACCCACCCCCCTACCCCCCCCTCACCACCTACCCACCTACCCGTACACCGACACGCCTTGCCGAGCCAGCCGTGCTAATCGGAGGTATGGGCGGATTGACATGGTTGGTTACGTAGGGTGCGAAAGAAGTTCAACATATATACAGCCAGCTACCGAGCCACGTCTGCACGTGTATACTCTGCATTCCGATCCAACCTCCTAGACCTGCAGACCTTGACAACCTACCTAAATACATTGACATCTGAGAACATACCTATCCACGTGACCCATTTACCAAACGTCCTATACGCCCACCCACACACCTACTCACCCACCTACCCATCTACCTACCCACCCACCTACCCACCCACCTACCCACCCACCTACACACCTACCCACCCACCTACGCACCCACCTACGTGTAAATGGGCCGTGCTCAGAAATTCAACAAGTGCATGCACCTTTGTTGCCAGAAAAAAAAGTGAAAAACCTATTCTCATATTTTGCTGGCAAAGGAGATCCCATGATGAAAGTGCATGCACCGCACATGTTTTAATCCAAATGCGAGCTGGCGGGCGTGTACCGCTCTCTCCACACAAAGACTAAGCCGAAGATCCCCCGTGTAGCCTTAACAAACTGTTGGGGCAAGTGCTGTTAGCGAGCACCTATGAAGGCCGGCACAGCACACGAGAGAGGGTGGGTGGCCAGCACCACGCCCGGCCGCCTTTGTCTCGTGGCGATGTTTACACACCACACCAGGTACTCATTTGAGGCCGAGTCGACCTAGGGGAGGCCCAGGACCGGTTCAGATAATCGTCACCGGTGTTGACCGTGAGCGGGAACCGAACCCGGGTCGCCAGGTTCGTAGCGCACCGTAGCGCTAACCGCTACACCACCGCTCCCTCGCACATACACAGACACACACACAGACACACACAGACACATACACACAGACACATACACACAGACACATACACACAAAGACACATACACACAAAGACACATACAGACACATACACACAAAGACACATACAGACACATATACACACAATATGTAGATGAACTCCCGAGTCCTTGAGTCTCGTAGTACTGCCATGAGTGATGTGACTACCCAGTACCAATCCGCCGTGCAGGCGCCAATGGAATGTGTGTACATTGTATATGTACGATTATAATTGATAATGTTAATAGTTACAATACCGTTGTTGTGTAATTTACTGTTCGTAATCTTATTGCATTGTATTATTACTGTGGTGATTCGATATTATGACGATCGTTTAACGTTATTCTTCTTATGCGATGGACACTTGACATAGTGGTAGCCAATCACCGGTTGTCGTTAAACAGGGTGTTTCTCATCGGGATGTGTGCGCGTGACAATGCATCGATTACCATCGATTAATATCGACGGAGTCGCTCGCACGTGGACGTGCCTGCAACCGGTTACTCGCAGCAGAGTACAAACCGTGCGCTGCAACAGGATGATAATGTTACAGTCGTAACAGGATAAACGTCTTCTTTGGGTCTTTCGGTAAAGCCGCGTAGATAGAACACATACTAAAAATTATAAGTATTATTAATAATAATTATGTTTTTTATTATGTGTATTAATAACGCGGCTTTTACCGAAAGACCCAAAGAATATGAATTCCTGCAGTCACGAAAGCTTTAAGTCAGGATACACGTAATTAATTATAAATTATGATTATTTTTTAGGCCCATATATGGAGTAATGGAGCGTGGATAAGGCATACTGGAACGACGTGTTTTTAGCGATTCAGTAAGCGATTAAACGGGAATCGACCGATGTTTTTGGTTGATCGGCTTTCTTTTACATTGACAATAATGTATCCATCATTCTCTCGCGGATTCATTGTATCCTGTTTACAACTCTGTTTACAATT